AAAAAGGTGGTTTTATGGAAAAGCTAGCTTCATTGCAAGCCTCGGCTACTATAACAGACGCAAAAACGGCTGCGAAAAATGATGCTAAATATGAGAAGATTGTATGCACCACATCCACATTGGACGAACCAGTGGTATGGCCACATCAGAAGCTGGACTTTTTACAGCCCGATAAGATAAAAGATAAGCAGGGCAGGCGCCCGGATCATCCAGACTATGACCCTACAACATTGCATGTACCCGAAAAGTACTTGAATTCGCTATCGCCGGTAGGATGATGAAAAATATATTTTTAATGGATTTAATCATGTTTCTGCTTTGATTTATTTATTTCTAGGGTGTACGCCAATGGTGGGTGTTAAAATCGGACAACTTTGATTGCGTGCTCTTCTTTAAAGTAGGTAAATTTTATGAATTATACCACATGGATGCAGAAATCGGCGTACAGGAGCTGGGGTTTGTTTACATGCGCGGCGAATTTGCGCATGCCGGTTCGCCTGAAGTGAGCTTCGACAAAATGTCTAGCGTACTGGTTGATCGCGGCTACAAGGTATATTATGTGAAGCTACCTATTTCATGTTGAAATAAAATGGTTTTCATTTTATAGGTGGCGCGAGTTGAGCAAACTGAAACCACCGAAATGATGAGCGAGCGCTGTAAAAAAATTAAGCCTACGAAGTTCGATAAGGTTGTGCGGCGCGAGATTTGTCAGATATCTAATCGTGGCACGCAAGTATTTGGCACACAATGTCAGATAACGCCACATTACCAACCAAATTACATGCTGGCTGTTGTTGAAAAGGTAATCAAGTGGTCGAAATTTCCTCACTGTAATTTTTAATTGACTACTTAATTGACTATTTAATTAAAGAATGAAACGAGCTGCAGTAAATATGGTGTTTGCTATGTCGACACTTCAATCGGGGATTTTTATATTGGCGAGTTCGAGGATGACAAAAATGGTTCGCGCTTGTTAACTTTGCTTTCGCATCATATGCCAGTTTTGGTACGCTAAAGGAAAAACTAATAATCAGTTTAATTTCATAGTTACTACTGTGGTCTTTTCTTTTAGCTACTCTATGAACGCAGTTCACTTTCTGAACGCACGCAGGAGATTTTGCGTACCATGCTTTCCGGCATACTCAAAGATCCTTTGCCGGCCAATGGTTCGAAAGTGTGCAGTGCTGAGAAGACACTGAAACATCTCGCTGAGAATTATTACGCAAAAATATCGGACGATACTACGAATGGCGATAATTGGCCATTAGCACTGCGCACAATGCAATCTGAATCTGACCATTTGGGGTTAACACCACGAGATGATTGTAAGCTTGCATTGAAGGCGCTTGGTCAATGCATTATGTACTTGCAGCGTTGTCAACTCGAAGAAAAAGTACTGCCTATGGCCCGCTACCACCTCTATACGCCGCCGGATATGTTAAATGAATCGGTGCGTATGGCAAAGCCGCAGTCGGGCCAGCAACAATCTGTACGCCGTCGCCATATGGTTATCGATGCGACAACACTGGCTAATCTGCGTATCACAGGGGAAGAGTACTCACTACAAGCTACGCTGGATAATTGTTGCACAAAATTCGGCAAACGCTTGCTACATCATTGGATCTGCTCGCCCAGCTGCGAGCTGAATGTAATTGTGGCCCGTCAGCAAGCTATAACTGAATTGATCGAGCATTCTGTAGAATTGCAGGAGTTGCGCGCTTTGCTGGCGCCAATGCCAGATTTTGAGCGGCATTTAGCGCAGATACATTTGTTCGGCAATAAGCGTATCTCACAAGATCATCCCGATGGACGTGCCATACTCTTTGAGGAGAAGTTGTATAATAAAAAGAAAATACAGAACTTCATTGGCATATTGAAGGGATTTACGGCGCTGATGGACGTACCAATCCTTTTAAGCGGTTTTGAATCACCACTCATGAAGCGTTTGACCCAACTGCAGCCAACCGGATGCTTCCCAGATATGGCAAAACAATTGGAATTTTTCAAAGTACGTATCGGCGGTAGGGAATTCAAAATTCGCAATGAAAAAATGTGAAACTTGGATATGCAACGGAAGTGTATATCTCCCGCAACGGTTTAATATTAAGAACCATGCAATAAAATCAGTAGCCAATTTTCTAATTTCAGAGCAATGAAACGAAGAAGGAATTAATCGTTAAAAGCTTCACTTTCGTAGTGTGGCCACTCCATTTTTAATTGTTTAGCAGGTATCAATTTAAATTCGCTTTCAAAATACTTCATTACAGAACGCTTTCGATCATGAGGCAGGCTCCAAGACTGGTGTAATTGCGCCGGAACAGGGTGTGGATGCAGATTACGATGAAGTATTAGAGAAAATCAAAAGCATAAATGCCACATTTAAAGATTACCTAATTGAGCAAGAAAAATTTTTCGGTTGTCGTCTAACACCTGGTGGCGAGAAAAATCGCTTCCAGCTGGAGGTGCCTGAAAATGCGGCTAGGAAGGCAGGCAAAGCCTACCAATTGGAGGGTCAACGGAAAGGTAATAAACCAGTACGACGCTTCTCGACGAATGAAACACGCGTAAGTTACCAAACCATTTACTAGTATCTAAAATTACCGATCACCTCAATCTGCAGACACTCGTCAAGCAAATGCAACACGCTGAAGTTGAACGTGATGCCATACTAAAAGATTTAGCCAGACGAATATTTGAGAAATTCTCCAAACATTATGAACTCTGGAAGCAATGTGTTGATTGTGTAGCTAATCTGGATGTCTTAGGCTCATTGGCAGAGTATGCACGCGCTCAGCAAGTAATTTGTGTGCCAGAATTGCAGGAGCAAACTGCCGAGCAGCATCCATTTATCGACATTGCAGAGGGCTATCATCCATGTGCCCCGGCTGATACATTCATACCAAATGGGCTCACTCTGGGCACGGACGAAACGCCAGCACCGCTTTCCATACTTACGGGCCCCAACATGGGTGGTAAGAGTACGCTAATGCGGCAAGTTGGCTTGCTGGTGGTGATGGCACAAATTGTATGTTAAAAGTAAAATTTTGAGTTAAATAATTTAGTAAAAATGCTAATTTTATTATGAAGGGGGCGCATGTGCCGGCCCAACGTTGCCGCATCACGCTGGTCGATCGTATATTTACGCGTTTGGGTGCACAGGATGACATTATGGCAGGGCAGAGCACATTCTTGGTAGAGTTGAATGAAACATCACTTATTTTGAAGCATGCTACCGTTAACAGTCTAGTGTTGCTTGATGAACTAGGTAAGCTGTGTGGCATATTATATTGCTATTAACTTTGAAAGTAAAAGAAAAAATCAATGGAAACAGGTCGTGGTACTGCTACTTACGATGGCACTGCCATAGCAGCCTCAGTGGTCAACTATTTAGCTGATTTGAAATGTCGTACGCTTTTCTCCACACACTATCACAATCTAATCGAGTATTTCCACAAAGATGCGCGCATCACATTGGGTCATATGGTGAGCTATACTGTATACTAATAGCTATACAGTTTTTGTAACATTCTTTTACTTGCCTACAGGCTTGTATGGTTGAAAATGAGGACAACGAAGATCCAACTCAAGAAACGGTTACCTTCCTATATAAGTATACTGCTGGGGCTTGCCCCAAATCGTATGGTTTCAATGCAGCTAAGCTGGCTGGTATGCCGCAGCCGATTATAAAGCGCGCTTATGAGGTGAGCTGAAGAACTTGCTATGCTCTGTCTAATTTCTTATTTGATTTTAATTCCAATTTTTTTGAATTGCAGCTTTCTAAACGCGTGGAGGCTATCGCTTTGCGCCGTAAGGTCATGTCGAAGGTTGTTGCTGGCGCAGGCGATAAATGCAATGATATAAAGGAAATCAAGAATTTACTTTTGCAGCTACAGGCTTGTCGCGTTTAAGTAATTTACTTAGGTAATTTACGCAGAATTCGTTTTTTGTTGTTATCTTTTGACTCGTCTTAATTCATGTATACGATTATTTAAAAAATACATACATACATTATTTACTCTATTATATTAACGATCTAAGTGAAATCCTTGTATTTATTAGAACTCTTGGGTTTGCTTATTTCATTTATCAATGTTCTGTGGGTCCAATGGGGTATTGGTTTATTTATTTTTTATTTTTTTTATTATTTTTTTATTATTTTTTTATTTTTTATTTTTTATTTTATTTTTTATTTTTTATTTTTTATTTTATTTTTTATCTACCGGACACTGTCCTCACAAATAAGCGAAAAAAAGGCAAATTACATATACAGTGCCGCACTAAATTATTGCCAAAGGGAATTTATCACCATTTGTAAATGCAAATTTTTTTATTTTAGTTTTCTTCCGCCAATTTTTTATAAAAAATATAGTTCATACTACGAAAAAAAACTTAAAAATAAAATCTCAACTTTGTGCAAAACTCAGGAAAATTTAATAAATTAGCATAAAGTTTGCAACTTTTTAATCAGGTTTTCTATAAAAATTCAAAGTATGTATGTAGTGCAATTTTGAAGTTGTAAA